AATATGCATGTTTTCCCCTGTTTATTGAGAAACTATAGCCTTGAGGGATGTGTGTAGCTGAAAACGTGATTAGTGTATGATATAAGTTAGCAAGCTAAATGGCATGGATATAGAGAATGTATGAAATTTTGGGATTATGGACGGATAGCAGCTATAATAAATATTGATACGCGTCAGCTATTGTAAAGAAAGTTAACAAACCTGTTATTACCTTGCTATCAATCTGATTGATGATGTAATGGATATAAACTCTGCTAATCTGATGGGAAATCGTATATACTATATTATATAGTTAGAAACCAACAAATTGGCATAACATTTATACATTTATCAAAAATAATTTTTACAATGAATTCAAAATTTATGGTTATATGATATATATGGTTGGGAATTATTTTGAATTAAACTAAATTATTTTCTTTTACTCCATTGTCCGTGCATCTCTTTATATTAACACTGTAACGAATGAAGTAAAATGTAAAATTCATTTATTTGATATGGTGTTTAACAAACGCTCCCTCATCCATGCTAAATGTAATGTAAGCTAAACGTCAAGAACACTATAAAACGTCCCCATGTGCATATACAAAAATAAAAAAACCGTTTCCTGTGTTAAAAGACACTAGATGCAAATATTGACATTATAAAGATCTTTCAGATAGAAATCTTAACAAAAGAATGCAGCATTCTGACTATGAGTTATGGCTCCTGGTAACGATGCACTATTCATTACCAGCTGTGGAACCCTAGCGCAGCATCAAATTGTGTTATAATCTGTTATTGTCTATATCCTGTCTATATGTAACTATACGTATGTATCTCTATATGTAAATTGCTCATCTCCATCAGCACAAACTAACTCGCTCTGTCGATCGCCTCTACTTCCTACACTCATGCTACCCCTCTGTTCATGCTGTTCTCCTTATGGCGACACTGACCTTTATATATGTCTTACACTGTCATTGCCTATTTGTGGCCTTTACATATTTATTCCTACCACAAAACTGTCTACAGAAAATCGAAGATTGGTGCTGTGACGGTATTTGCTCGAGACTTGTTAAAAGTGTTTGCTGTAGAGTACAACTCGACAAAGGTGTTTCCATAAATAAACATATTTCGTTACCACGAGGCAAATACGAACCATATCTCACCGTATACAGCGAATAATTGGCTACTCACGTATGAAAATATTTCCTCATATCGATGCATAAAAAGATAATAAATGTAGAAACTTTTCTAATACATGAAACTAATATAAAACATTAGTATATAAACTGTATAAATGTGCTAATTCCACTGCATTCAATTTTTTATTCATTATTTCTCTGTGATTGGGGCATTGCTTGAGACTTATATTCCATATTCGTATGCAGTGATAATGTAAACGCCTAGTAAAAATCCAATGGGACAAAAACGCAGATCTATAAACAACGTTTACCACTTAGCAGATGCACAAGTGCGTATACATTCATTCTTGGTAAATATGATCTCAAACAAGAGAGCATGTGCACACGTCCACGAGTACGTGCATTTCTGCGTGTGCGCGAGCCAAGCTGCCAAAGAATAAGATTCCTATTCAGTCCATCATCTACACTTTTTGATCAGGACGGCAATCGTTACGCGCGGTATACGGCCGGAATCATCGTAGTGGTAGCATCGAGGCACCGTCCGATGGTCAGCGGAGTCTCTCGATGAGGAGTGAGACACTGGGACCGCTCCTCTTGAGGCGTGAGACAGCCTCGTCATGTGTAACCGCAGTCATGTCCATGCTGTTGAGCTGAGAACCATATGAGAACGGAATGTCATTATGACGTATCGGAAAACACGTAATTTCACCATAAAAAAGTTCAGCAATTAAAATTGTGCAAAAATGTGTAAATATGATCAATGTATCGTGGCATCTACTACATTATGAACACGTCTATGCAATACTATGCTATGCTATGCTATGCTATGCTATGCTATGCTATGCTATGCTATGCTATGCTATACTATACTATACTATACTATACTATACTATACTATACTATACTATACTATGCTATGCTATGCTATGCTATGCTATGCTATGCTATACTATACTATACTATACTATACTATACTATACTATACTATACTATACTATACTATACTATACTATACTATACTATATTATATTATGCTAAATTATACTGTATCTATGCTATAACTATTATTATATACATGCACATACTAAGTATAGATATACTCATGGCTACGTGCATAACAACAGTGTATTGAGGTGTCTATGCTGTGAGCACATTATACAAGAAATTATGGCTTTTTATAGGGTTTCCCTTGCTTCACACACTGCTGGGCACTATCGCAATAAATGCGAAGATGTGTTGGCACTACGAAGAGGCAGCTTAATCATAGCTAACTTCATAGCTCATTGACATCGAGCAACAAGCTCGTCGAACCTGCAGGGGGCAGAGCAGTAGACCTGCATCCCATAGAGTGTGTCCAGTCCTCCACTATACACATTTACAACATGGCAGATACAGTAACACCAGGAGTAAGATAATATAGATATATATATCTATATTATCTTACTCCTGGTAACACGACAGTGGAGGTGACAACATTGGCATGCATATTGAAATTACCTGTAGAATTTTGTCTCCACAGCTAAGGATCATGTCAGCTGGCCCTCCAGTTTGCACCTTTGTGACGAAGATACCCTGTGGAAGAAGAGGAAGAAACTAGTTGCTTTGGCAACGATAACCATGGCAATGCCACAAAACTTAATGCAACAAGCAAAATTCTCCAGAACAGTAAGAAAATTATGACAAATACCAAAAGAAATGGAATGACTACCTAGTTATAACCAAAACAAAACAATGGTTGGTGTAATGGCAGCGGTGGATAGCCCATGGATATTGATACATGATATACTTGCGTGCGCCATCGAAAGAAAAGAAGACGCTAAGAAGAAAGACCATAATTTTGGCTACAGATTATTAGCGAGATACCGTGTCATTCGGTCGGAAGGGATTTCCCACAGAGTCCACCCCGCCACAGATGCTGAAGCCTAGCCCAGGGTTCTTCAATATCAATACCTGGAACTAAACAAACCCACATACAATTTTTTATCGACTGAAATGTAGCTAACTACCACTGACCAAGTATATAATCAAGACTTTCGAAATAAAATATTTTATGATATACAGTAAACTTTAAAGTATATTTGGAAATATAGTATTTAGTTCATGGAAGTATTTTTTATCGACTGAACAAAAATTTAGCTAACTACCACTGAACAAGTTTATAATCAATACTTTCGAAATAAAATTTTTTATGATATACAGTAAACTTTTAAAGTATATTTGGAAATATAGTATTTAGTTCATGGAAGTATTTTTTATCGACTGAACAAAAATTTTGCTAACTACCACTGAACAAGTTTATATAATCAATACTTTCGAAATAAAGTATTTTATGATATACAGTAAAGTATATTTGGAAATATAGTATTTAGTTCATGGAAGTATTTTGGTATTTATTTACCCATTGCAAGTCGTTCTCGCTCTTGCTGGCCGTAGCTTGATGACCACTCCACCCATTAACAGCGTGCGTTTGCGGAGCAATGAAGCCTGGCGCCATCTGCATTTGTCGTTGGTTCCAGTGAGGTGTGGATTGGTTTGCTGACCTCCCCATAGCTGGTGCCACATTCTGCGTCGGCTGCCGGTCCGCAGGACCCGCCGGCATCCCGGCCTCACCGTGCCTAGATGGCAGCACGTGCATCGCGCGGTCATGCTGCATCGGAGGGAGCACCGCAGACGCATGGGACGCGGCCGTGCTGAATGACGGCTGACCCCGCTGACCTGACGGCTGACCTTGCGGACCGGCGTTCGCACCACCGTCCGCGGTCTGCGGGCGTGAGGACCATCGCCTGGACGCCTCGCCGGTCTGCGGACCGCCGCCTGCCGCAGCGGACGGGTAGTCGTCGATGTCATCGTAGGTGTCGTTCTGGTACAGCATGGGTCCCAGGAACGCCTGGCCCTCGCCGCCGCAGCCGCTGCCGCCGCCGCAGCCGCCCCTGTAAGAGGTGTGCTGTAGGTGCGTGGGTTTCGGTGGCACTGTAGGTGGAGAGCGGTGAGCCGGCGGCATCGGTGGTAAGCTACGACCTGATCCTCCGTACTGCGGCTCTAGCGGCGGCGCCACCTGGTGGAAGCTGGAGAACGACGTGGCGGGCAGAGAGGACGACGACTGCGGTACGGGTGGTGGCGCCACCGTCGACGACGCCCACTGCTCTCTGTAGCCGGGATGACAGTCCAGCTGGCTCTTGCCATTCTCTTCGGCATGAGGTGGCACCACCTGGTGGCGTGCGTCGCCATCGCCGGCGCTCTCGTCACTACTGTCGATAAACGGAATGTCGGATTTTCGATCGACATTGTTCTTGTTGTTGTTGTTATTGTTATTGGCACTAACGAGCTGACCATTAGGCTTCCGTTCGTTGTGATTCTCGTCGGAGCGGTATCTCTGCACGTCCTGATCCGTCGCCGCACGAATCCTGTTGTGCGGCGTTGCCGTGGAAACCTCGCGTTGCGCAGCCTCCTCCGCGTCGCCTCGCCGCGCACTAGCGAAAACCGTGGGAGAGTTCACGTTGGAGGCGGGGGAGGAAGGCGGCGCGGCGCAGAGAGGGGAGGAGGTCGTCCGGGAGGGAGGGCCGCGCGTCGAGGGCACGAATGCCGAGCGCACAGTCGTCAGCGCCCCCTGGGGGCACCGCAGCGGACGATTCGGTTTCGCGCTCGGCGTCGCATCGTCTTCGGTCAGCAGCGACGTCCAGGAGCGCCTCCTGCTGGGAGATGCGTCAAGCTTGCCCGGCTGGTGAGCGCGCCGCGTCGGCGAACGACTCGTCCGGTCGTCAGCCGTCGCCATACGGCCCACCTGATTGGTTGACGAGCTCACATGACCTGCGGCCGCACCCGCCTGACCGGTCACCGCCCAATTCGTCGCCGTGAACGCTTGACCGCTCGCCGCAGCCGCCCGATTGGTCGTCGCGGCCGCTTGACCGCTCGAATCGCGGCTGCAGTTCAGCGAGTTGCTCGCGGACGAGAAGCGGCCGCCGTCCGAGCGTCGCCGTGGCGACAGCTCGCCGGACAACGACAAACTGCTGTCGTGCGCGCGCTGACCGCCGGCCGAGCGTCCCCTGCCGCCACCACCGCCGCCGCGGCCAGGCATCGGGGACGGGTCCCCTGACGACAGCTGGCTGCTGTCGTTGTGCTGCGACACGGACGAGTTGACGGAGGCGCGCGGCGAGTAGCCGTCGGACGAGACGCTCGGACCGCGCACCGTCAGCTCGTGCTGGTGCTTCGTCAGGCCCGCGTCGTCCGCGACGTAGATCTCCGACAGCGAGTCGAGGTCGACCGACTTGCCGTCGGGAAGGTCGCGCGCGATGCCGGCCATCGGCGCCGACGACAGCTCCCAGGGTTTGCGCCCTCCCGAGTCGCTGCGGTCGAGCGATGAGCACGGTGGCGCCCTCGGCATCGGCTCGTCGCTGAAGAAGTGTCGCTGCTCACCGTGGCCACTAGAGGGCGAGAATGATGGCGGCGTTACAATCGACATGCGCTCGGCGGGGAACGAATGTTAACGTAAACGAACGACTGACGCTAATAAATGTGCACATAGTTACATAAGAATCTCACTGAGAATTATCATGAAATTAAACTAATATCAGTCATTTAAAACTCAATTAAAATGATTAATTTAAATTAATCAATTAACATTTCAATTAAACGGATTGCTAAGAATACGGCTACTATCAGAAGTGTTGATGTCTGCATGCAGCTAACGTAGAGGGGAGCATACCTGACCGACGCGAGGGGAGAGCCTACAGGTGAGCGGTGGGGAGAGCCTACAGGTGAGCGGTGGGGAGAGCCTACAGGTGA